TACTATAGATTGACTGGTCTTTTTAAACAATGTGTAGTAGCTGGTTTCATCTGCTGCTGTTCATCTTGAACTTTCTTTGGGTCAGATGTGTTCACAAAGGATTACAGACAGCAGAAGACTGTGAAGGATACTCTAGCGGCATCCTTGAAAAATATATGCTGCATTTCTCAAATGTATTCAAAGGATCCTTCTGATTCGAACGGCCTTGGATGACATAGCGGTCTGGAAATGCAGCCCACTTGGACCGCAGCCTAGCTTTTAGAGCACAGCTACTGTCAGACTTGGGGACCTAACTGCAGTCCACAGTTTTCTGCGCCAGCACATCTGATTCATGTCATGAAGGGCTTGCTAATTAGTTGAAAGCTAAAGCAGGGAAGTACACAACAATGCTGGTTAACAGTGGTTCCCAAAGTCAGTTATTTCCCCTACTCTAAAACACCTGACATAGCATGTGGAGCTTGTTAATTAGTTAATGAGCTGAATCAGGTGTGCTAGATGAGGGAATGTGCATATGTGGGGTCCCCAGGACTGAGATTGGAAACCCCTGAGTTAATACTAACACTAATACCTCTGTCATATTTGGCATAATCATTAGAGCGCATGACCACCAAGGAGTTCTTGGCCAAACAGCAAGCCATTAATTATGATGTATTATAGACCATTTTCATATTAGCGAGCAAAGCACCTGCTGTGTCCATCCAGTCTCATCCACATCAGCATGAGATGTTTTGATAGTTAATATTGAGCTAGTCAACAGACATTTAGCATGTTGCTTAATTAGTTTAGTATCTTTCCTGCAGTGAAGAGCAGGCTTTGTCCCTAGTCAGAAAAGCTTCTGTATGGCTGTAAGTAAAGTGTGTTTCATTAGTTTGAACCCTGATCTGTCTTTTTCAACAACACTCTCTGTTACTCAGTGACAGCAGGAATCACATCCGAGGAGCTGACTTGTGGAGTTTTGTGTTTGAAGTCTTTTGTTTGGCTGGTTGAACTGTGGTTGAATGTCCTCTAAATCCAGACCTGTGCAATTTTAGAAATCTTGTTCTTTGGTGAGTCACACTGACCATGTATGGACAGAGCCTCACACTGTACAAACACACTCAGTCCGTGCTGTGTGACATACATCCTCCACAGACAGAAGCTCTGTCTGTGTACAATTTCATATAAAGCTGTTTCATTCAAAGTAACACACTGTGCATCGAGGACAGAGAAACTGAGCAGGGCTGCTAACAGTACTGAAGCTAAAGCCAGGCTGTGATGTACATGGTAGGACAATATGATCTCTCTACAGCCAATTTTATGAAAAATCGTATTAAAGTTTATATCTCACTCTCTACTTTCTAGCCTACATGTCTCCACCCATACTGGTTAAAGCTGTTGTGATTGTGTCATACTGGGTAAAGCTGTTGTGATTGTGTCACACAGTGAAGGTCTGGTGGGAATATGCCAAAGTCAATAGTTTAAAGTGACCGGCAACTTTGGCTACGTTTACACAGCAGGTAAAAGTGGCCCGAATCTGATTTTCTCACCAAATCTGATTATTTGGTTTGGCTGTTCACATTATCTTTTAAATGTGACCTGTAAGCGACATTAGTCTGAACAGATCAGCTCCTAAACCGACCCGCATGCACAAAAGAACAGAGCTTCAGGTGGCGGGCTTGTCCAGAGGTTAACAATCATGACGGCCAGTGAACGATAGTCGCTCCCGCAGCTTTCAGTTTCGCCCTCGCCAGCATCGCAGGAGCGGGTATAAAGTTCCAGTGGTTGACACCCACAGTGTGTTCGAGCTCTCCGTAAAAGGGCTCGTTATTCGGCCATTTCTTTGGTTCGTGTCCTCGGATTCTTTAAACTGTTCTCTGACGCTGCAGCCTCGGGCTCCTCGGGCGTGTTCGTTCGAAACCTCTTCAAACACGGAGCGGTTTGATGAGTCTCTTCTAATGTTTTTGTACAGAAACATCAGACAAAATGTTTATGAGTCTCAGCAGCGCGAAATTCTGACGAGTGTCGATTTGGATTGACGTAAAAGTCGCATGAATTCCGATCTGGCTGTTCGGACTGAGTCGCATTGCTGCAGATCGGATACGTATCGGATTTCAGTACCGCATATGAAAGCGTCTCAAATCGCAATTGAAAATGTCAGATTCAGTGCGTTTTTTGCTGTTCACACTGCCACACAGATACACATCTGTGTCACATTTGAGGAAGAAGATCGGATTTGGGCCACTTTTACCTGCTGTGGAAACGTAGCCTTGTGTCTGACTGTCACAGAGTCAGAAATGCTTCTCTGTGTGAGCAGAGCCTCCTACACTGCATTTGTTTATTAGTGCAGCAGTGCACACTCGGCTTACATCTCACGGTATCAGCAGGTATCAGAATGTTGGTGTTATGAATTTTTATGAGTACGAGTAAATGAGCATGGTATCAGACCGATACCTGATACCAGCATCTGTATTGATGCATCCCTAGATGCATCCTAGCGTTTAATGCCCCTAAAAGCTCCGTCACCGAAAGTCATTACATGAAACTGAGACCATGTTGAAAAATAGCTGAGATGCAATGTATTTTTTTTAAATATATTAATGCTGGAAAGGTACATGCAGGGTGCTATAAGGCAAAGTAGTCTCCACCCTGCCAAAAAATACATTTAATTTACCATTATTTGAAAGGGCCTATATCCTACATTTGGATTTCTTTATTATGGTATTTGTGTGGGTTAATGTAGCAAAAGCATAATGACAATGAATCATTTTTACTTGACTATCACTAACCGCTCTTTATCACTAAGAATTGAACAGACTGATTTATGTAAATGACTTTTGTTCTGATTGGCTGCCCTGTTTTCTTCCTTCTTTAAAAAGCACTGAAAACTGCTGTAGGCTGAGCAGGCCGATACATGTCAATAAATTGGACATCACAAACACAGTTCCAACCATGTAGGAACTGTACGGACTGAGGAGTGAGCAGTATTTAGTTTTCTGTGATGTGGGCCCCATAACATGATCAATATTACATATTAAAACTCGTGTGGGTCCACTTGTTGTTTTGGATAGTAAATAAAATGGCTCTACTTGTGGTGTAGACGATCCCTGGTTCCTATCACATCATTTCACATCAAACCACTCTGAATCGCTCTGTTTACAAGTATTTTATCACAATCATTAGAATCTGCCATCAGCTGTTTTTATTTTACTTACTAACCTTGAGTTATGGTTTGATCTTGGTAGCCAGCTGGCTAAATATGTACAGTCCTACACATTTACCAAACCTCTCTGAACCTTCAAACAGTGTGGATCATGTTTAAATCACAGCTTGCATTAGACCTCATTATTTCCTGTATGCATTATCTGTACTGCTGTGCAAGAGAAAAAAGTTCATGAGTGGATGCTGGATCTTTGATCCTAGAGTTAAAAGTTCATCATCTTTATGCTAAATCAGACCAGAACGACACAAAAGAAATCTTTGAAGAGGGACAGTAGGGGAAAATCAGTGTTCTGGGGCAGCTTTCATAGAGCATGAGAGTCAACTTGCCTTGAGGGGTTTCTTTACATTCTTCAGACATCCATTCTGGACGTGCAAAATGGGATTTGTTTCAAAATCTTTGAATTGCCAGCCATGACAGTTTCCTCCCAAATAAACACTAGATCACACCCAACGAAAACAGGCACATTAAACCAGCCTTTCATTTATGTGGTTTATGATGTGCTTGAGCACATACGTTTCTGCTGTTTTAATTTGAGGTACTGAAGTAACTCTTCTGATGCAGGATTCAACAAACTGAGCCAGTCATTCCTCCCTTTAAGAATTCATGAGAGCCAAGCTCCTCCGCTTTCATCCATTCTAACCCAAAATAATGAGTGAGAGAATGGGCTCCTCGACTGGGGAATCCCTTTTATGATAAAAGACAGCCGTGCTCGATTGAATTTGTCGGGCGTGATGTGAGTTTGATGCTAGTGACATGGATGGCATTTTGGCAGAGGCAGGAATACAGCAAATGCCGAAGTCGTCATCGCTTCAGGTCATAATTGGAATGCTGTTAGGTGCTCTGGAGCTGGAGCTCCAGCTCAGTCAGTTCAATCAGGTAATCAACAAATGATTGACATGACTTGGTTCATCACATTTGCAGTAAATCAATAACGAAACTGTCTAGGATTACGTAAAATAATGCAACACGTCTTCGAGTTTTATACCAATAATTTATTATCCATTTTTTTTTTCCAAGTAGCACACTTAGAACATGTTGACCTGGCTGCAAAGTGGCCAGCTACACTGGAAATAGCTACATGTAGAGGATCAATAAGTTAGCAAAAATGCACATTTGTTCACCACAATGTATAGTAGAAAAATGAGTCATTGCAGACAGTGGAAAGCACCAGATCCTTAGGCACAACAACAGTGATAAAATTCAGAATTGCTAAAAAAAACCCTCAGAGACGTCTCAGTACCATCATTCGGTAATACAGCTAATTACCGTATTTGGCATCAAAGGTGGAATAAGGTATGGTAAGAGGAAATTCAGACAAACTATACTGTATGTAATCAATGTACATTAGCTATGGAAAAATGGGAAGTTATCATAAATACTGCATGATAATGGTATTGTCATACCATATGAAAAAGCCTTTGATCTTTGTAAACCATTCAAGTTCAAACAAAGAACTTCACTTACTTAGAAGTTAATATGAAGGAAAAAGGTGTATTTACAGGACGTTTGAGAGCGGCTGCATAAACCTATACTGAAAATTCAAGTACTTTGAAACACACAGGACTTTGTAAAGGGCAGTAACGTTAAGGTGCCAAACACTATACAGTAGTGTTTGAAACCCAATTTTTAAATGGCAGTCTTATGCACTTGTAGAAAAAAGACAGAGAGGTCTGTAGTGGTCAAATACTTCCAGTTAATATATAAAAAAAGCTTGAACATTCATCACAGTCATGTCTGATTTGAAACAAGGTACGAAATGTCTTTACAAGGTGTAATACAAAACATGAAAAATATCGCCTTTTGTACAATAGAAAACTGTCATTTGGAAGGAGGTCAGTACAAAAGATAGTAGCACAGAGTGAATGCGGAGCCTTAGTCTAGATCAGTCCTTTTTAACACTGGTCCTAGAGTTCCCCTGCTTTGCACATTTTAGCGTTTTCCTGATCTAACATACCCTCTTCTGCAAAGAAAGGGCTTGTTAATTAGCTGATTTGCAGGATCAGGTTAGAGCAACACTCAAAATGTACTTTGTACAATATGTGTCAGGGATACTCCGGCACCAGAGTTAGAAATCACTGATTCAGAGCTTTGACCCCTACACGGTGGTGACAGACAGGAAGGCGTTGTGCACTTTGGTGCCCTCGGGCGCTCTGGCCCCGTGACTCATCAGTTCCTGAATGGTCATCCAGTTGTCCAAGATTTTCCTGTTGCGCTTTTTCAGCATTTTCTTGTGGCTCAGTTCCAGGATGCTGACTTCTGCTCCTGACGTCCCGGCAGCCTCTCTCAGGCACTCCAGACGGCTGCGCTGCATGAACTCACGGCGGCGTCGCTGCTCCCTGGCCCTCGCCAGCTGCTGCTTTCGTTCTTCTTTGCTCCAGTAGCGGCCCATTTTCAGCTCACTGGCAGCATCGTCATCTGTCGTCATGCCACTGCTGCGCTCCTCGCGGATCCGCAGCGCCCGTTCCCTCAGGATCCGATCACGAGCAGGGCGCCGCGCCACGTACCTAGTCCCGTCTGCCCGGACCTTTACCTTCCATTCCAGCCTACCAGGCTGAGGAGGGGAGGGCCGTCCACGGAGGCTCAACAAACTTAGCTGGCTCTGAGAGTATTCTAGGGAGGAGGATGAGTGCTGCTGGAGGAGCTGCATGTAGCCCTGGTAGTGACTGGTGTTGGGGTGGTAAGGAGAGGGGTGGCTGCGTACGGGGGCTGCCCGGCTTCGGCTCCTCGTCCGATCATGCCGCTCGTCATCAGCCGGAAGGGCTGGGTCTGACTCAGATGGGTTGCTGGGACTTTGCTCCAGGCTGCTGGACAGAGCCTGGCCTGGACCTTGCGACCCAGGACTGGTGATTGGGGTCTGTAGTGGTGGAGTGGAGTTAGCATGAGTGGGTCTACTTTGAGAGGAGTTAGCAGGAGTAATATTACCAAAGGTGAGGTTGCCATGAGTGGGTGAGGTATGACTATAAGCAGGGCAGTTGTGGGAAGTTAAGGGGCTACCATAAGATACCCCTTGAGCATGAATTGCACTGCCACTGCGCAAGTTCCTTTGATTGGTTTGGTGGATGTGCCTTTGCAAAGAGTGGTCAGGTGAACCTTCGGTGCCCAAAGGAGTGGATCGTGAGCTTTCTGCTGTGTTGTATGCACTTGAGCTGTCCTTGTCCCTCAGCTTCTCACATTGCGTCCTCTCAGGCTGCTCATTGATATCTTCCAGCTTGGCCCGGCGAGTCCTACTATCCTTGTCTGCTCTAGGTACGTCCCGCTTGTTTCTGCGCAGTTGGTGGGCCTGCATGATGCTCTGGCACTTGCGCTCAATACTGCGTAGCTCCTCATTCAGCATACGTAGCTCACGCTCCACCCCTCCTCTGCCGGCCTGCTCTGTCAGACTGCACTCAATGGTGCTGCTGCGCCGGTACACCAGGCCGCACTCGCCTTCATTCCGGATCTGGCACTTCAGTTGCAGAAGCTGCTGGAAACTATCACATTCCACTCCAGCCTCACTCCGTTCACCTTCTTGGCTCAGCTCCTGATTGGCTGGGCTGGTGGGAACCAAATGTGGCTCCACCTCCCATTGGTGATGCATACGCTTAGGAGTCCTTTTTTGGACATGAGGTCCGGAGCACTCCTCACCTCCATGTCCCATCCCACTGCCTTTATCCTGCAAGGTGGATGAGCAGGTGGCTTGATCCTCATCTGGCATCTTGGACTACAAAAATACACACATGGGTGTGAGGTTCAGCTGGAAGGGTTCTTTAAAAAGAGACATGAATCATGTGCTCGGGTTCATGTACTGCTACTCACTTGCTTATCACATTTGGCTGTCTGAAAGATATCTTCTTTTCTCCGCTCCTCCAGAATTTCCATCTTTAGCTCCTCCAGGAAGTCATGGTGTTCTTCATCCAACCAGGCTTCATCCATCTGGAAGAAGAGACAATCACTAGATTAACTAATTGTCTGCGGGCCCTCTTGCTTTGAGCACTGCACCATATGTTGCTCTAGCATAATTGAGTAAATGTGAGTAAATATTGGATGAAAATGTTCCTAGCTTTGAATGAGAGATACCATTAAATGTTTTTATAAGGAACATTTATTTTACATGCTAAATGGTTGCAAGTTTGAACGCTTATAAATAGACAAGTGAGATAGAAGTAAGATGGAATAGACTACTGGGGACAATTTAAATGCTAATTGTGTTAACTATACCATTAATAGGATATGTTTGCATAAAACAGCAAGACAGTGTAAATAAGACAATGTCAGACAAAAATAGGATAACATTCAAATAAAGTTGTTTTTTGTTTAATGAAAATAAAAAGGTAGATAAAAATAGAAAATACATAAATAAGAAAAGAAAAGAAAAGAGAAAAAAGAAAAGAAATAACTGTACCATAACCCAACAGTAGCATGAACAATGAACAATGTAGTACACCATAAAGAAAATGGTCTCCAGAGACGTGTTTACCTAACTTAACTAATCAAAGCAATACCTTTATTAAATCGTTTTGAAATCTCTTGAACTCTTTACTGAAAAAAACGATTAACAGGGATTTGTTTTTAAGAAATGCCTGAATTTGAATGCAAATGCAAATTAATTTGTGTCAGAAGTGAATGTGATTTCCTTCAAGACAGGAATCATACAAAATGTAATCACTGTCCAATCAGAGCTGAACTCTGCTCTCTGCTAAACTCAGAGGCATGGTTGCAATCGGTCTCAGCATTCATGGGGAACTTCACCCAGGAGCTTTCAAGACTGATCACAATCGCTCCTGTTCCATGGAAGGAAGTACCAAGAGAGGTCATGGACATGGACAATGGCTGGTAGCTCACCTGTGCCTCTGGCCTGGTAACTAATAATACAATGTTCTTGGTGTCTTCATTAGAGAGAAGAGCCACAGCTTCCTGCCTGTCCTGCACATCACAGCCATTTATCTGGGAAAAAAAAAACACACACACTGAAAGGACTACCAACACTATGCAAAATGCACCACATCAGTGAGGGAAGTGGAACAAAGATTCACCCCTCACCCAAATAAACACACACTGACAAACACACACACACACATGCACACGCATACACGGCCCCCATCCTGAGATAAGAACCCACAGTCAATTATATATTTACAGGAAGAGTGGCTGTGCATCGATTAGAAGGAGCCACCTCAGCCTCGGGAGTCCGAGCATTCATAAAAGCATCCTAGCAGCGCAAGTTCAGACACACAATTAACCAAACCCTGACAGGTGGCGTTCATCTCTTCCTGTATAGAGTAATGGGACTGTCACAAAGAGATAATGGGGTGGGGAGCGAGAGCGAGCCAAAGAGAGAAAGAGTGAAAAAGAGAGAGGGAGAAATTCATGGGACCCACAAGTCACTTCTACTCATCTTCCTTCAACGTAACAATCCTGCATCTCTCGCCTTCTCTCTCTTTTCTTATAATCACCCCATGCCATATATATCTTCTGCGTTTTCCTGAATATTTATGTACACCAGCTTGGTGCATTGAAGCGTCTACAGACTGAAACATTCAGAGAAATGAACAGCTGCAATTCATACATCCACAGCTTGCTGAACAACAGGATGTCTCAAATGTGCAATTGTGAGACACCCTTTGGAATATGGATTTCTGCATGAATGAGTTGTAAAATGTGATCTTTTCCTTATGAATTTGCTACAATAAATCAAGACAATTGTCTTCTTTAAGAAATAGCAAGTGATATATTTTGCTGAATTAATGTTTTTAATCCACTGACGGTAAAAGTATATGAAGCTTTGGAATCAGGAAGCAGTGATAAGAGGATACACTGGAGTCAAGTGTTCCAAACAGTTCAGGTGTGAGTTTGCCATATAAAATAAACCACACACAGTTTTAGTTACCTGCTCTTCAGAAAAGAACTAAATAAGTGCAATATGGCCAAAACAAAGGAGATTTCAGAGGACCTTAGAAGAAATGTTATTGCAAGCTGATAATACTTTACTGAAGTTACTGAAGGACTCCTAAAGACTTGGGTTTCCATTAATCAGGCTAACGTAATAAATTCAGCACTGTCAATACTCTCCCTATTAGAGGGTGTCCTACAAAGATCAGATGTAGGACCTTCAAATAAATGGCAGACAGCCAAGGATCTTCTGATAATGCAGAGAAATCCTGATAATTGCAAAGAGTTTACAAACCTTCTCTATAGTGTAGATGCAACAGATCACCAAGGTCATGTGTCACCATTTAGTCTGTAATATGTGTAAATAATGACTCTGGGTCTAAACTGTCTATCTACATGGGAAAAATGAATAACACGCTATCACACCCTGTGGTAAACACAAATGTACTGTTAATGACAGGGTACCCCTCCCCCACACACGGTGAGGTTCTCTGAATTACGACACTAATAGCCATTCTGCTGAAAGTTGATTTGGACAGTTGAAATTGAAAACAAAGTCGGATGCTTCACACTTTAGTGTAAAATGTTGCGACTGTGTTGGGCTGCTAGTGAGCAATGAGGGGCAAATGGGGAGGGGTGAAAAACCCCTGCTGTGAAAACAATTCAGCAAAAAATGGAAAATAACAGAATTTATGGGGGAAGATCATCTTTCTTCCAATCTAGCGCCTGATAAATTCCCATTTCTGTTTCATGTGATGTTTTGATAATTCTTACCACCACTCCATTTCCCCTCTATTCCTCAGACCTATGTCAGTCCTACCAGCATTCAAGGTGGGTTCTTTTCCTCAATCAGACTACACTCATACTATGACCATGCGTTCTGAACTTGCGAAAAACACATACAAATTGCCTTGCTCACCTACAAAGACAAAAATCCAGTTGTGTAGTTTTGTCAGACACATTTTCATCAATATATCATCACTGTCCAAAGAAAAACAAGAATGTCTGAAATAGTAACTTTACAGGAGAAGGCAAAAACGCTCTTAACTTTCAACGAAGGTCAATGTAAAAAGGTTTAATTTCAAGTAATTTTGGAGCATTTCTGCTGGTCCATTCATCATGAAACCTTTACGCAATATAACATACAGCTGCCATGATCCTGTCAAATGATGAAGAAAAACAGAAATAAACTAAAAAGGAGGTACATGTTTTTCTTTGGACAGAGACAATGTATTCCATCAATGAGTGCGTTTACATGCACTTGAGTAATCAGATAATGGGAAACTCCGGGTCTACATGAGTCAGGCTGTAATCAGATTTCTGTTTTGCAACCAGCCAATAAACTCACAGAAGCAGACGTGACGTAAACATAATGTAAAACTCCAACTTCATGTTGCAGCTTTTTTTAATCATTGCACCACTTTACCTGAAAATATGAACATAAATCATCTACAAGATGAAGAATATTTAAATCCTTAATTTGGTTAAGCATGTAGTTTCTTTCAGCGTGAGTGTTTTGCTGCCATCTCGCGGCAAAAACTGCTCGCTTATTTCTGGTACCGCCATCTGTTTTCGCACATGCGCAGACTGAGAAATCCGAAAGAAAACCAAGTAAGAGTTCACACGCACTGAGAAATCTGATTACTGCGTTGAAATCCAGCTCTCTTTATTGGATTTCTTAATCGAATTTCTAGACCTTACTCTGATCTAAGAAATCTGAGTATGCTGTTTACATGACCGTTTAACCAAACAGATAACTGCAGAAATCTGATTATGATCGGATTTTTGAGTGCATATAAACGCACTCAATATTTTTGAAAAAAAAAATGCATAGTGCAAAAATGGAGGGACCTCCAAATCAGACGGGAATTCAATTTTATGGCTGCTACGAAAGGGCTTAAGTAGTTTGAAAACAAATAATTGTGTATACATGTTACAAGCAAGCTAACATCTGTGCATTTCCTGTTATACCAGTAGGAGCTTTACCTGTAAAATTCGATCGCCCTCTCTGATGCGTCCATCTCTGGCGGCTATGCTGTTGGGGCCGACCTAGAAGAGACCGTAAAGCTCAGATCAGTTCATACGACCATTGTCCATTATCAACTCCCACTGAGAAACTGCCACACTCTGTGATAGTTTGAAAGCCTTTCATGGCATTTGCTTTATTATGATGTTTATTTTTAGGATCTGACACTGTGATCTGTACAGGTGTACTCCTTGCTTGCTCTGTTCTTCATGTTCAGTGGTGAAATATCACCTTTTATTAACAGACAATCTCAGCTGTTGCTTTGTGCATTGATCTTTCTTGGGGGAAAAAAGACACAGCTGATTGTTTTCTTCAAACAAATGAAAATCAGGCAAAGAGCATGATGAAAGAGACCAAAACATGCTGGCTGTCACACTTAATATAGGGCACAATTCGAGATTTGAATAAAATCAACATCTGTATTTTCACACATCCTAACGGAGATGCTTGTGAATTTTCTGTGTGTCTATTTGGCATCGGGCCCTGAAATGATCTCTATAATTCAGATCATGAAAGAGATACTGAAAAGTGCGGAAAAACAGAGAAAACCAGAGAACGGTGACATAAACATCATATCCATACATGCATTTTTAATGAGAAACATTAGCATATCCCCCGCTTTCCTCTCCCTTAGAGGTGTATAAATAGAATATCTCTGTAGGTTGGTAGGTTGTTTACGATCTGCCTTCTGCCAGGGATCTGAGAGAGTCGAAAAAACCTGTTTAGGTGCTGCCGGAGCCATTTTGATGTAAGATACGCTGTATTTACATATCTCAAAGAGATTTCGTTGGTGTAACAGCAAGCTATCTGAGCCCAACAAGAGACAAGTTCTTCCACTAGGCTGCATTTCCTACTCCTTTCCTCCTTTGTTCGTGGTTAATGTGTAGAAAATAGTGCCAAGGACCACCGCTCCATTTTGCCCACTGCTGGAGACGAGAGGGGTATCATTCTCGAGCAATTAAAATCATCAATTAAAACGCAGAAAGGGAAGGGGCGGGAATCGCATTTCAGACTTCACTTCCTCTCTCCACGCCTGGCTCTGTCTTAGCAGATAATTAGACTTCTGACTTTGAAAAACCAGGAACTGTTGCTGAGACTCACCAAATGAAGCCCCTTCAATTTTACTGTGCCGATGTGCTGTTTTGAAACAATAAGGTTGCATCAGACAGAACTACGGCTTATCTTTTAATTACCTGACTGGAGCGCAGAATCTCCGCTTGGATTAATTCAGTGGCTAGAAGTCATTTGATGGGTTGTGTTAGACCTCCCCCCCAACTATGCTGTTCACTATGGCTTGAAATAGTACCAAGACTTCCAAAATGCACCATATAATACAGATTCTCTGTCCTTATCTGTGGTGGTTGCCTGGTTTTCTCTGTTCTTTCTCACTGTTGATAAGCATGTGCCGTATCGCTTTCATGATCTAAATAATAAGGAAAAGAAGAGAGATGATTTCAGGGCCCGGAGAAACAATCAGACAGAAAATCATACTTTTATAAGACCTGCAGTGAGATGTGTGTTGATTATATTCAAATGCTGATTATATTTAAATCTGGAAGTGTAGTGCCTTTGCAGTCTAAATGAAATCTGACAGCTAATATATTTCAGATCCTTTCATCGTCTGCTGAGCTTGATTTTTATTTGTTTGATGAAAGCAATCAGTTGAGCAGATATGTATGAATGTCAGCCAGAGTTGGTCACCTGGCTGACGTAGATAGCTGTGTCCTCTTCATCATCCGTCCTGTAGCAGAGGGTGAGCCCCAACTTCTCCTGACTGTTCAGACGACACAACTCAACCTCCTGAAACAAAATGTACCACAAATAATCAGTCATTTATTCATCCATCCATCCATCCATCCATCCATCCAACCACTCATCTGCCCATCCTTCCACTCAACTATATATCTATCCATCCATTTTTTTATTTATCCACTCATCTGCCCATCCATCTTCTCATCCATCATCCATGTATCCACCTGCCCATCCATCCACTTATTTACCTACCCCTTCACTCATCCATCATCTACTCATCTTCTACCCATCCACTCATCTGTCATCTACTCATCTGTCATCTACTCATCCATCCATCCATCCATCCATCCTTCCATCCATTCATCCATCCACTCACTGTAGTCCATCCATCCATCCATCCATCTATCCATCCATTTTCGTATTCAACCACTTATCTGCCTGTGCATCTACTCATTCATCACTCAGGCATCCACCTGCCCATCCATCCACTTATCTAATTACCCATCCACTCATCCATCATCTACTCATCTTCTGTCCCTCCACTCATCTGTCATCCATCCATCCATCCATTCACTTATTCATCCATTTATCCATCTACCAATCATCTATACATCCACGTATCTACGTACCAATCTTCTCATCCTTCCACCCATCCACCCATCCACCCATCCATCCATCCATCCATCCACTCATCTGTCATCTACTCATCCACCCATTCATGCATCCATCCATCTATCCGTCCACTCAGGCATCATCTAATCGTCCATCCATTTATTCATCCATTCGTCCACTTATTGCAGTCCATGCATTCATCCATCCATTCACTCATCCATCATCTACTCATCCATCCATCCACTCATTGCAATCCATCCATCCATCCATCCATCCATCCATCCATCCATCCATCCACAAACCCTTTCATGTTTCAGTGAATGATTTTTAAATACACAGTTAAGCAGATTCAATAAGCATACAACAATTGAAATTAACTGAAGTATTAAAATTTGCCTAAAAAGATTGTAATGTGGGTTTGTGTTTACCTACTTTCACCATATTTCACTAAGACTTTGGACTTAACCAAACTTCTAAGTGGCAGCAGTGGGCGATGGTTAGATGCTGCGCGTACATTATAAATCACTTAATGAGCACGTTCATCATTTGCATGAGCGGTTAATAGGAATGAAACCATTTCCAACATGCTTAAAACCAGTGCCACAAGAGAGTCTCTTGAGAATAAAGCAGTAATGGCATTTAATCGCTTCTCGGTAGCGCAGAGAATTTTTGAAAAACACGGTGAACACAGTTTGATCATTCTGAGACTTTAATCTCATGATGAAAATCTTGAGATCTAAGAGCACAAAAAAAATCTGCATTAATAAAATGTGTACAGAATAAGATATGCAAGACAGCAGTTCCATCCTGCATTTTTTAGCCACAAATTAAATGGGTGCAATGAAAAGTTACAGCATGTCTGAGCACTGAATTAATCAGGCAGAGAAATGAGGGGGCATGTCAGCACTGCCATCCTCGTACTGAAGGGTAAGGACAGTGCTGTGTTTGAGTGACGTTCATTTGTCTTAGGACACCATTTAGTCACAGCTGACAGCTCTGGAGCGCTAACAACCCTGAGCTGCTGTTCACTGGACCAGAAACGACCCATTTACCACTCAGCAGTCTGACTGTACGACCATATATCAGCAGAACCAGCCGCCAGCACAGCACAATGAAACACATATGTGCTCTCTCTCACTCTCTCTCTCTCTCTCTCTCTCTCTCTCTCTCTCTCTGTATCTCTCACACACACACAGAAATGTATATACCAAATGTACACATGCATATACACGTACACTTGCTCATACATAAATATGCATGTATCCACACAAATGTATGCACACATACATTTGTATGCAAAAGTTTGGGCGCTCCAGTCAAATTACATTTTGTTTGATCTTTTAGGTGAAAATATACTCAAATAATAAAATAATCCTCTTAAAATAATGTTATATTAGAAGGTCCACCTGGTTACTTACTTTTTTTAGTTAGAAAAGTTGCAGCATTTTTACAGTGTAGCTGTGTATTTGTTCTGTTGGGGTAGTAGAGTGTTTGTGCAGTTTGATTATGACTTTTACTTTTAGATGCTCATCTTAAGTAAAGTAATTTAATTAAGCCTTTAAAATCCCAGGCTTATTCCATACTAAGGCTTATTATTCAGTAACTACAGGGACTTCAGTGCAAACTGGTTGAGCTGTTCTTAAGTTATAGACGTGTGTAATAAAACTTTGGGCCTGCTGGTGGGCCCTGACCATTGTAGGGGTTAAAACAACTTGTTTTATTAGTTTTAGTAGTACCTTAGTAGTTTTTAAAGAATATATTTCAGATTGGTATAGTAATCCGATCAGCCAAAACATCAGTGGATCCCTACTATCAGCTGAAAACAATACAATCCAATCCACTATTTTTTCTTTAAAAAAGAAAAAAAAATAATCTAGCCTAAGTGTCAAACTCTAAGGCTTTACAAATAATTTGATTAAAATGTTTATTCCCTTTGCTTCAACAGATGTCAGCCATGTGAAACCCTTTCACAGTTTCTACCACCTTAAAACACAAGATCCCACTCAATATGAAGAATACAGCAAAACAACAAAAGCAAAAAGGAAGGTCCCCACTAGCACATCGACAACATCTGTAGCCAGTTTTTGAAAACAAGAAAAAAATCACAAATGAGTCAAAGTGCAAAGTGTTACTAAATAATGGAATTCACTGTCTTGGATGACCAACTGTTCTCCACTGCTGAGGATATTTGCTTTCATGGCATATAGCGTTGCTTACATACTGTAATAAATTTATGTTCATTTAATGTAAACTGTGTTTATGTGATTTGTGCTGAATTTCAGTTTTGGCAAAGGATTATCATTTGCATCACTAGCCAGTACTCAGTGTTCAACATCCAATATCGGAAAAGAAAAAGTGGTGTCCTCTTTATGCAAAAAGCATTGCAAATGCTCCAATATGTTAAATTCAGTAAATAAACATTAATTGTGCATTAAAATGTGCAGAAGTTTGTTCTCCATAGAGGATGTGTTAACTTTTGTCTTTTGACTGGGGCGCCCAAACTTTTACATATAACTGTACATGTACATCATAAGATGTATCTAATAAATGTGGGGATGCAGCTTTTAAAAGTCAGTTCATCAAATGCATGGTAGTGCTGTGGTCATCATAAGTGGATGAAAAACACACCGCAGTACTAAGAGGTAGGATAATCTCAGGCTTACAGTGCTTTTGGAAAACTCTGATGTGCACCATGGCATTACTTTTTCATCTCTAAGGGGTAAGTATGAGAGCTGTTCTCTATTTCAGCTCCGGAGTGATGCCAATAATCACGCTGAAGGATATTCGTCATTGCCAGCTTTAATGTGGCTCAGTATTGATCTGTCTCCTAAGCTCAGCAATAACTCATAATCTCTTCAAAGCGTCCATTGTTTCAGGCTATGCATTCACTGACTGGTATTTCCTCAGCTGTTGGACAGAAAAGGATTAATAATACCCCTTAATCCCGAGCGTATTTTGTCTGTATTGCATCACAGCAATACTTCTTCACATACAATCTTAGATATAAGCTTCTATCAAAAATGCACTCACAAGAGGGACATTAGCGTCTCCTCAGCCCAGCAAGGAGAGAATATCCATGACAGACGGACTGAAGTACCATCATGCATGGAGGAAGCTTACTCACATGTGAAATAGCTCAGACTGATGAGGAAGACCCTGGAAGGGACTTTCTCCAAAAGATGGGAAAACTCCCATGTTTTTCAATCTCATCTCTGTTTGTTATCTACATGGCATCGATTTTTACAGACATTAACTCTGATGTGTTTCCCTGCATCTAGAAAAGAACAGAAATATGTTTACTCTAAATACACTTATAATAGTCATTGAGCAGTTGCTAACCAAGCTGGGAGAGTGAACTCTAGCAGGTGCTTCCTCTGAGACACTGAAGCATCACTGCATCTTTTCAAACTGTCGCTAACACAATGTCACTGGACGGCTCAACACGCTACCTGTTCTGTTTTGTCAGAAATGGAGAGGGCCATCCTACCCACCCAGAGAGACTGAGGCCAATTATGCTGTCTTGGACTCCTGACCACAGATGGCAGTGGCATCATTGGGGATCAAACTTGTGATCTCCTGATGACAGGTCTATCACTTAGACAGTTAGATGATAACCTTAAGTGAAGTGTTTCATTTTAATATGGCTTGTTCTAATAGTGTAAATAGTAGCTTAGTAGTAGGCTAGTAGTTTTTAAAGAAAAAATATCAGATCGGTAGCATTGTCAGCCAATGCTATGGATGTACTGGCACTGAAAATGGAGGAAAATTGCAAAAATTTTCAAATTTTGTATTTTTTTTTGGTAAACTAAAAGAATGGCTTTGTGACATCAAATTATTTAAGTTTAGTTTATTCAGTTTATTAAGTTTATTTTTTCGCTTACCCCACTTATCTTCTTTAGTTTAGAACTTGAGCGGCTTACAAAATGTATTTACATAAACGGTTTGAGGGACTATTCACTTCCAATGTTTGTTAGCACTGTTAGCCTTCCGTCTCTTTAGCTCTAGTGCTGAACTACAGAAGCAAAATTTGTACACTAAACATGTCTTGGTTGATCAACTGTTTATAGGGTGAGTAAAAAATCATATAAATCTGGTTGTCCTATTCCTGTTCCTTAAGCTTTAAATCTGTTTAGATTTAGATTTAGATCTGTTTTTAAATCTATTCTCAGTTCTTTTCTAAATACAGGAAAACACACTGAAATCGTTGTCCATAATAATAAACCATGCACTACAGATAGTGACTAAGTTGAAAATCGCTGGAATATTTGTACAATATATAGACATTAAACAGACATTAATTCTTCATTCAAAATCTTTACAGTGTTATGAGGGTGACTGGTGGATGCAACACATACCTCATACTCAAATTCATCTGCCCTTTCCACTTCTGCCCGAGGGTTGGACAAATATTCCGGACACTCAAAGTATTCATGCTCCATTGTCTGGATGGAATGACAGCTAGAGTGATAGACCAAAAAAAAAGAGATAATAAGAGAGAGTGCATAAGCAGTAGGTGACCCTCATGACCTTTTAGCCTTTCAGAAAAGCCTTAAGATTCTTGTTTTTAAGCTCTGAAGATATTGTAGTATTACTCTTATTATTTACCTCAAATCTATCTATCTATCTATCTATCTATCTATCTATCTATCTATCTATCTATCTATCTATCTGTCTATCTATCTATATCCCCAGCTTTTGTCCAATTCCATCCACTAGCTAGGTCTCACAATACTAATAGTGCTAGGTGAAGGTTAGCATGTGCAAAAAGGGTTGTTCTATTATTACAAGTTTGACATCGTAACAATAGTAGAACACTTTTTGGTGCTATATAGAACCATTTCCAAAGTATATATACACACACATCCTATGAGAATCTGAAGAGCCATTTCACCAAACAAAGAACCATTTTATCATGCAAGTGGTTCTTTAAGTGTTCATGGTTCAATATGGAACCACTGTCTTTTATTAAAGCAGCCTTGAAGAACCATCCTTTTAAAGAGTGTACTACTAGAATTCCATAGCGGTGCTAGAAAAAGTTAGCATTATTTTGGAGCTTTGCTACTGAATATAAGAAGCCTGTACAACGCTAAAGGGGTACAATGTGTACTATAAAACTACTATGAAAACATGAGTGTTATGCTGCATGTGCTTGTGCAGTTTTCCTCCAGTACTTAACCCCTTGAACCACAGGCCTACAGTTATTAATGTTAAGATCAATTATTCAGTTACTAACATTAATTTTTAAGTAAATATTATGCCATTTATATGTAATAACGTAAGTTATATAGTGAGCTACTTGAGTGGGCCACATACAGGAACTTAGATGAGGTTAAAATGCTAAACACCACCTACTTTAAAGATGCACTGATCAGAGGTCTGTTGGAAACACTACAATTACTGAAAAGATATTTCTCTTTTCCCAGGTCATGACTAAGAATGCTTCCTTACAGCATGGTCAGTTTAGAAGACAAACTGGTTCAGTCTGGCTGCTGTAGAAGGTTATAACCAGACCATGGATAAGTGTGCCTTGTTTGCCACTCCATTTTGCTTTTAATCACCTTGTAAACTCTTTATTAAAGACAATGAATAGAGCTAGCAGCAGCGGTAATTACATGCGGGGCATAATGCAGCTTTATCATATTAGCTGAGTGAAGGGGGGTATTACACATTAGAAAACGCTCCATAATGAAGGAATTCACAGCAAGATGGCAGGGCTTAAACAAAGGTCCATATTATTGATGGAAAATGTGCTGCTTTCAAAAATGGCTTGATGCAGCAGCGGAGTGGTGAAATTAAGATTCATTCAGTGGTTTTAACAAGCAAAGTGCTGAGTCTGTCAATTTATGAGCTATAAAAGCTGATGTGTCAGACTTTTCAGCTTTACCCTCACAGGCAGAGGTGTAGCAGCAAGGATCAGTGGCAATAATGATTTAAAGCAATAATAGAACAATAGAATATAAAAAAAACACATGTTGGCTTGTAAAGGCCCAAGATAAGGGAATATTTTGAGTTCTCTCCAAAGGCAAATGTTTCTCTGCAAAAAAGAGGCTTTAAGAGTACCTACAGTTGTAAATAGCCCCTTCAGCACAACCTCTTACAAAGTTTAAAGTTATGCATTGTAGGATAAATTCAGTAGGTTTCATTCTAAAGTCAGAGTAATGTTTGATGAATACACAGTGCTATGTAAAACTCAGAGACCACCCTTCATTTTTTAATTTCAATCAGACAATAAGTTCTTTAGTTTTTAAAATTAAAAAATGAAATTTCTCAGGAGACTTTTCTGATTAGATATATGATAATGATGATGTTTCCAAAACTGGAGTGGAACTGGAACTGAAAAGATCTAGAAAAGATGGGACTGAAAGACCTGGCAGACCACTAAAACTGTCACCATCACATAAACAGCACTTAAAGCTTTCATCTTTGAGAGAGAGGAGAAAATCAAGCTCCACTCTTGATTCAGATCTGAAAAAATCCACAGGTGTTTCTGTCCATCCTTCCACTGTGAGAAGAACAACTCAACACTATGAGTCTGAAAGGATGCTAAAAATGATATTTAGTTGTTGAGGCTTATGTATAATTTTCTGTTAAATACATGTTTTCTGCTTTTATCCTTGACACTGAAAGGTTAACAACTTGTATGCAAGTAAATGAAGAGTGGTCTCTGACTTTTGCACAGTACTTATAAGTGTAATGCGAGTGAGTACCTGTCCGACAGCAGAAAGGGGCAGATGTCAGGCACTGGTGGAGTAGCTGGCCTCATTTTGGCCAAAGCCATAATATGCTCGAACGTGATGTCTGTCTGAGTACACACATCCACCACGCAAACCTCTTGCAGGTTGCCATGGTTACTGGCTGCGGGACCCCGCCGTAATACCTGGACAACAATGGGCTCCTTCCGCATTGCTTCAACAGCCACTTCATGTCCAGATTTCGAAAAGTCACGCCCATTTACCTGCCAGAGAGAGATTGAGCTGCTTTAGAAAAGCCTCTACAACAGTGTAGTATTATTGATACAGTAAATCAAGCAGGTACTAGTTAAAGCAAGTGCAGTTTACCCAATGCTAAGTGATGGTCACAAGTTTCTATTACTTATTCGCTACATTAGCCTCATAGCTTTAGTGCAAAACTAAAAAAAACTAACTTCAGACATCAAACATTTCTTGACAGATTGCCTACATTTGGGGGGGGGGTTGTGTAAATATGATTTTTCTCTAAAGTATTCCATCAAATACAAACCTCAATTCCAGAAAAGTTGATACAGGTCATGCATCATGTCTGTGTTTAAAAAGAACATCCAGGGAAGACTGTGTAAGTGCAAGGACGAAGCAAAACATCATTATTAGACTAGCTAATTGAAAAAAATTCTGTGTGCAAACAGGCAAGGAAAAAAAAAAAACTTAACCGAACAATGACCTTCGAGCCCTCAGACAGCACTATGTTAAAAATTCAGTATGTGATATATATCACCACATTCAGTTCAGGAGATAAACTGAGTACTTAGACAAACTGCTGTCAATAAACGTCGCTCATTACTGCATCCACAAATGAAAGTGAAGTGGAAGTCATATAGCAACAATAACCAGAAATGCCATTGACCTCTCTGGGAACCAGCTCATCTGAAATGGACTGGTGCACAGTGGAAATGTGTACCAGATTGTTTATGGACGTTGTGTTCTCCGGGCCAAAGAAGAAATGGACCATCCAGATTGTTACCAGCATTAAGTTCAAAAGCCATGCTTTGTCATGGTCTGAGGGTGCATTAGTGCACATGGCATGGGTCACTTGCAAATCTGCAGAAGCATCATTAATGCTGAAAGATAAATGAATGCTGAAAGACACATATTCTGCCGTTTAGATGCTGTCTTTTTCAGAGACGTCCATGCTTATTGCTGCATGACAATGGCAAACCACATTCTGCACGTGTTACAACAGCATGGCTGTGTAATCTGTGAGTGTGGGCGCTAGACTGGCCTGTCTGCGGTCCAGACCTCAAGGCATCAAATTTAGAATTTACTGTGTATTTAAAAAAAAAAGGTAAAACATCATGTATTTTGTTGTTTTCAATTTAAAACAGAATTTACTAATCACTGCTTTCTGTTTTTATTATCATTTCACATACTTACACCTATCTTTTTTGGAAATGAGGTCTGTACATGCCAGTTCTAAAGCACTTCTGGTGATTAAATGTGTGTACATGTATCCACCCGATATATGAAACTCACAAGGGATCTGCCGTTCATAATCAAAGTGATGCCTGACACGAAACACCTGACACCTGTCAAAGACGCCCTATTGGCCTCCAATCAGCCAGAACAGAGGCTTCGCTGCCCAGCCAATTAAATGAGCCTCTTATATCTTCAGTGCAACCTGTATTTCAACCAATTTTCAATGTATTATTGATTTTCCAAAACACTTTTAAAAAAAAAATTCAGTTTAATTAAACTCTTAGGTTTTTGTGAAACCACACATCACACCTGAAATAAAGTGACAGAAAACAGAGTAACGAAGCTCCATTTTAAAAGTGAATTTATCTGCCTAAACATATTAACACTTACAGTATGCATGTGACAAAAAAAGACATGCTGGTGTGCAGATACACATAGACACACACCACACATAGCCAGCTTCTCTGCATGTAAGAACTCTCTCCCACAGAGATCAATGCATCCAAGATCAATAGTGACAGAATAGCGCTATTTAAAACCTAATTAAATCAGACTTATCCAAACATCAGCTACAGAGATGAAGACAGTTCTGCACCATTTCTCTCTTTAATGGGACCGAGTGTAAAATTTCCTATTACAGCATAATTTTACCACTTAACAAGGAATGCAACAGCAAAATACAACTTAAAATAAGTACTGCACAATTTATTCTGGGGTAACTAGAAATGATGTAGTATGCAGTGAGCACTCATACATTCCGGTTGCTGCATACTATTGAACAGAACCTTACATCACATATGTTTCTGCTGATCATTCAGGAAAGGTTTTCAGTTACTCACACAGCCCATATAACATACATCTGCATCAAGGGCATCAGGGCTTACTACTGAAATGCACTAATCACTACTAATATGAATGTATAGCTACCATCATACTATTGGTCTGCATAATGTCTATCAACATTTTTGTCATAATACATGCATTAGTGAAGAACTATAAAAGGAGCTGCTAAAAGCCATTTTATGGTGTCTCATAGAGCTCCCTAGACCAGTAGTTAAGACAATGCTCAGGGAATTAGCCATTTTGTTTCCTGAAAATTCCATCAATGCACTGTAATACCACTCAGGATCAGCTGTTAACTACACTCCCTGCCTGGAAGTAGTCTTATCAGTCACTAGTCTCTAGTTTGAAAATGGAGGACGAAAATGCCTCCCAAAAAACGTATAATATTTACATCTAAATGTCTAGAAAATGTATATATAAACATATATATATATGTATATATATATAGTCTATATATATATATATATATATATATATATAGACTACTGATGCCAACAATATCAGTAACACCAATAAAGCGCATTTACCACCGATCCACTCATACAGCTACTGCAAAATGCACAGCTTTTTAAATGGAAAAAAAATTTTATTAGTGTCAAATAAGAGCAAGTAATTGTGATTACTGCTCCGCTGCGTCAACTGCAACAAAGTAATGCAATCAATCACAATTATTCTCCCTAGTTTTTACTGTTTATGATTGTTGAGTTAGCTAGCTTGCTAACTACATCAAAATGGAGGATTTATGTTGTTGACATTAAGTCCAGCCTTGGCCACACAAACTGCAATTTTCTAGTGTGACTATAGCTTAATATCAAAAATCCTGGCTTTCTGCTCAAGCTCTGCATCTAGCCCTGACAGATCAGTTGAGCAAGGACATCCATAGAACGAACAATGCCACACCACGCCAATCAAATATCTTTTTGTTTCAATTTTCCAGAGTATGGGAATCCCTTGGGTCTCTTCAAAGTGCATCCATGGTGATATCATGCATACAAAAGCGTGTTAGTGAGATGCTTTAGGTCAGGCTGCATGTTCTAGAGTGACAGGCATGGCCATGAGAGAACAGCTGTGAGTGCTCAATGTGCATCCAGCAGCCCTCACTGCCAAACTGGCTCAGCCGGTCCTCCACAGCTCTCTCAGTGGGGCACCAAACCTGGAGCTCCCTGGCAAGAACACAACCTTGTGACGACCTTGCAGCAGGAGAGTCTGATCTCACTGTGAGCCAGGTTTGCATTCTGAGGCTTTGAAATTGGAGCTAAAGGAATCTGGGGCAAACTGAAGCTAATACTGAGCCACCAGTAACTTCAGGCTTCATGTGACTTGATGGCACGTCACCCAAAAAGTACTTTTAACAGCAGCTTTTGTTTCTAAAATGACAAAAGCCCCAGAATCAGAATCATGAATACTTTTAGCCAGCAGATTATGTGCTTACAAGATTCACAGACATGGAAATTTCCTTTGGTGTGGGTGAGAGCACGGCACAAACTAACATGGGGTAAAATGTAACATGGATATTTTATGTAGTTGAACAGGTAGAACATGCTTTTAGTCATCTTCTTTAATTCTCATAGCAACATTGTCTGCAAACTGAATAGATATTTCTCAACATTCACTCGGAAGATTATTTTTTATCCCATGAAAGTGACTTTTTTATTTTTAAAACTACTAAACTGTGTCTAAAAGACAAAAAATCACACCTATATTATTTTAATCACCCTCTTGGTGGCTATAGCTTAATTTCAAAGAGTGCAAAAGTTCACAGTGAAAGCTAGCCAGGCTAAAGAACAGCCTCCACACAGTTTTAGTGTTACACTGTGTTACAACTAAGCCTCTTATAGTAAGCAAAGAGTAAAGTCCATATACCCTCAAAACAGGTTATTTTTGGAACTTTTCTTTTGCAGAGGTTAATCGAAAATGTACTACAGATCTCATGTAAATAAAATGTATTTCAGTTTTATTTGATATTTGCTGTTCTAATTTGTGGCCAAAAATAAATTGCTGCTCTCTTTTCACTGATCACATATATTTTGATGAATATATTTTATGCATTTAGATTAGAACACTTCAAACAACAAAGTACTGAATTGAAATTAATTGTGTCTCTTACCAGACTTTTTAGCAACTATTACAACCAGCCCCTTACCTGTACAATTAACCCATCTATGGGATTAGATGTAATGTTTGCACTCGTGCCACTTTTGGCTGAATTGTTCACGAACAGTAGGTGCCTGGAACAAAGTTTCTGTTTGTAATTGTAGCAAAGCAGTGAAGGTTGCTCATATTAAAAAGGATAAATCTTGCTCAGATACCTTTAAACTTTATTATTATAATTAAGTGAAAGTCAAAATAGCTTGTGACCGACTCTCCCATACACTCTTCAAAATAAAGGTGCCAAAGAAGGCATACTGGGAGTGACGCCACAGAAGCACCATTTTGGTTGCCTAAAGAACTTTTCAATGGGTGGTCCTTTGGTGACACTTTATTTTGAGTGGTCTTTTTAAATGAAACAAACATTCAACAGATTCGGTAACATGTCAAAAACAATGAGGGTTAGAATTAGATTTTGGGTTGAGGTTAAGGTTAGGGTTAGGATTAGGGCCAGAGTTAGGGTTAGGTTCTGGGTAAGGTTGGTAAGGTTAGGTTTTGCGAAATGGAGGTAACATATTAAGGATACATCTACTTAATGTAAGTAATGTATCAACAGAACATCTACAAGATATTTACTTCAATGTATTCAGATGCTTCACTACTGCTACTTCACTGATATGTTGTTGATGTGTTACTGATAATCTGTTAAGAGTTTATTAATCACCTACAAAGGCGAACTCTAAATAAAGTGTTACCTATAATGTAAATGTTTTATACCAATTAAAGTTTTTCCTAGAACCATATGATAAAGCCTTGGACCATTTAGCAATCTTTCTTTCTAACAGTGGAATTGCAT